TTGATAGGGGCGTTGTTCCCCTTCTTTGCGGCATCATATCTTTCGTATCTTTTTGCTTTTGAAGATTCTTGAACTGGTGGTCCGTGCATCCCGCTTGAAGCCATACTTAACTCCATGTCATGAGCGCGGGTAGCAAGTTCTTCGAAAGTGTGGGGTCGGATCCCTTGCAGGATGTATTTCAACCCCCAGTGCATTCCTTGGACGCACATCTCTATACCGAAGGCCTCGGACAACCGGTCTTTGCAGTTCAAGCTCAAACTCCTCCAGCGGTTGATGTAGTCGATTGCTGGTTCATCTTTCCATTGACGAGTATTGGTGAGTTCTGTCATACTGACGGTCCTTTTTGTGCTGTAGAACCGGTTCAAGAACTCGTACTCCAACTGCTCCCAACTGTCGATGGAACCAGCCTCCAGGTCGATATACCAGTCGAAGGCGTTGCCTTTTCAAATGGGAGAAATATTTTTCGTATTTCAATATAGTATGTGTCGTTGCACTGTCAATGAAACACATATTTGCATAATTTTGATTGGCATCCATTTAACCTTCAAATATAAATAAACGTAATTGTAGACAAAAAAATTGTGTGATATTTTTTTATAAACACAAAATCGTACAAATTACATTTAATTTAATATATGCGGGTCCTATTCTTTATTTGGATCCTTTGATTCTCTCTCCGGGTCGATCCATTTTTCCAATTTGGATTTGGGTGGCTTCTTTGATCCGAAGGGACTTTGGTCTTCGGTTTGACTTCGTCGGTTTTTAGGAAACTTTGGTATCCGTGTTGGCGATTTTGATCGTCGACTTTGGATCGATGCCTCCTTTGGATGATCCGACGGAATTTGACCTTTGAGGGAGGGATTTGGTGCTCCATAACGCTTTTGGCGGCGTGTCCCTTTGACTTTTGGATCGAAGAGGGCCTGGTTTGCGCCTTTTATGAAGAACGCGACGAACATCTTCAAGCTTTGGGAGCGACTTTGGAGGCTCTTCCTTGGCTTTGATGGATTCCTCGATGGCTTTGAGAGATTTGATCCTTCATCCGGCTCGGACATACGACGAAGAACGTTAACTTCATCGATTCGTCAACCAATATTGGATCATTTGTCCAAATCGGTGACTTTTCGACGAAGAACGCTTCGAAGGACACAAAGAACAATGAAGAACATTGCAGAGAGTCTAGAGAGACTTACCCTTACGCGAGTCTTCAAATGAACTTCGGTGTGTAAATGAATTGGCCAAGGCTCCTATTTATAGGGGAGGGTGGCCTTGGCTTCCTTTTCGGATAGTGCCACGTGGATGGAAAGATTTTATAATCTTTCCTTTTTCATCGGATGCCGTTTTCCATTTTTTGACGGATTTGATTATGCACTTCCTTTTTCGCCAAAATCTTTATATCATTGTTTTTTTTGGAAGATATTAATTTATATACTTCCTTTATTGACAAGATTAATTTATTTTGCCGCCAAATTTATTATGGCTCTATTTATGCACGTAATATTTGTACGATATCTTCCATTTTAAGCAAATTTTGCATTAATGGTTGATATTTATTGTACAAAAATTAACATATGTGCATAATTAAATACCATATATTTATTTTATTGGAATTTTATTTTTTTCCAAAATACATGATATTTAATTGATTTTAGACATATATTTTTAGTGTCTACAGTAATATTAATAAAGGCAAATATAAATATTACAAAATGTACTACAAAAATGTAATATGCGATAATTTAAATATTACAAAATATAAAATATGTAAAATTACATAATATGTTTGTCACTGGGGGTTTGTTGGATCTACGACAAAATCCGCTATATCAAGATGCGTTGTGTCATAATCCAAAAGATCATCATCAGGGTTGTCATCATTATCAACGTGATTAATCTCGACCTCCTTCTATTTTTTCTGCAGTGAGGCTCGTCTAGGTGTTTGGCTGTTCTGCAGGTATTGGCCCAATAATCTTCAATGTCACACCGATTACAAATGTTAATTTGCCTCTTTTCCTGTTTAGCCTTTTCGGCTATATCCCCATATTGGGGTTTACTCTGCATCCTATTAATGTAAAAACTGCGGCGATTGTAAGAGGTATATCGACCGCGTTGACTCTCACAATTGCGACTACGTCCACGGCCTCTACCAAGTCCTCGGCCTTGTTCAGAAAATGTCACATTCGCTTCAGGGAACGGACCAGAACCAATGGGCCAGGACTGATGATTTTTCATCAATAGCTCATTATTTTGCTCAACTAATAAAAGACATGCTATGAGGTGTGAGTATTTTTGAAAGTTTTTCTAATGATATTGCTGTTGTAGCACAACATTAGAAGCATGGAAGATGGAGAGAGTTTTTTCTAATTTACTATTTTCAGTAACATTTTATCCGCAAAGTTTCAACTGAGATGTAATCTGATGGATAGCAGAGTTGTACTCTGTAACAGTTTTTAAATCCTGGAACCGCAGGTTAAGCCAATCATATCGGGCTTTGGGGAGAGTGATATATTTCAAGTGCTCAAATCTCCCCCTCAATTTATTCCACAAATCTAGTGGATCTTTCACCGTTAAATATTCGGACTATCTAGATGGTGACAAATGAAAATAATAACCTTAGCCCGATCTTAACTTTTAGCCGTATTTTCACTGGCAATTGTATGAACAAGGACCATAGAAACCATATGCATTTCTACATCCAAGGACCAAATCAGAAAATTATTGCCGGTGAGAGACATAGATTTAAAAGAAAATTTTGCAAGATTTTCCATAGTGTAGAAAATAGATAATATAGATAAAATAAAAATAAAATTAACCAAAAATAAAATAGACATGAGTTTTTGTGTTGATAACATGTTATATAATAATAATATAATATAACATTGGTAAGTATATTTATATATATATATATCAATGTGTTAATATATTATATATGTATATATATATGTACGCTGTGAGTGTATATTGATATATATCTTAGTATATATAAGACAATATGTACATATATAATATAATACTACCTCCGTCCCACGTATCATGTCTGCTACATTATAGATACGGTATTTTATGAGTGGTGTAATTAGTAAATAATTAAGAATGTATTAGTGAAAATAATTATCCTATAATATAATAATTATAAATTAAGATTAAAATAACTAATTAGTTTAATTAAAATTAAAAAAAATTAAAAAGTTTAAAATGAGATTAAAGTGTATAATCATTTTCCAAAAATGAAAAGTGACATGGTATGTGAAACGGACATAAACGGCAACGTGGACATGGTATGTGGAACGGATGGAGTAATACTTATGCAGAATGTTTAAAGCAAGCCGAAGAAAATTGAATGTAGATTGTTTTTTGATTAAATATTTTGTAACCGTATTTATAAATATGAAATTTTCATTAGAAAGAAAGATAAATAGCAGACATATATACAACATAGTTGTTTCGTGTTACTATGTAGCAGACATATATACAACGTAGTTGTTTCGTGTTACTACGTGTATATATATATCGTAACACACAAATTAATAACATTGTTGTACTTTTTAGTGTTCCAATAAAGAATTCGAAACACCTATATGTCTTGGTTTTTAATCTTTTTTTAATTTTTCAAATTCAAAGCCGCAGCCGCAATTCCTGATTCTTATTTGCCTCGTTCTTCTAGAATTTAATTTAACGACTTCATATAAGGTATTTTTATAATAAGTGAAACCGTCTAATAATCACTGAAACACATCATTTTAATCAACAAAAATTAAAAATCAAGATAGAAGAAGAGCAAAAGACTTGCATGTTCCAAACCAAATTTTAATCTAAAAACTCACCAAAACATCAAAACTTACGTAATATAAAAACTAAAAGCAAGTTTAATCTAATCCTCACAAAAAAAAAAAAAACACTACTAAAATATATAGGCAACAAGACTTGTTACCAATTTTGAATCTCACTACAAAATATTTATTTACATAGGTGAAGACCAAAGAGAAGAAGAAGACATCACTGTCTTCCTCAAACAAATTTGTGTCTCAAGAAGCCAAGTTGAACCTCTCAAAATGAAATTTCTATTGGTTCTGACACCTTGGTATGTATTTTTACACAATTTTTTTGAAATTTTACTATTACATTCTGCGTTTTTCGAAAAAAATATATTTTTTATTTCATAAAATATCTTATTAAATATTATTTTAATATCAAACTCAAACTAAATTTTCTTAAACTCAATCAAAAGAAACACGCCCAGTTTTCGAATACCAAAGGAGTAGGTGAATTGGAGGAAAAATTTTAGAAGGAGGAAATTAAATTTGTATGAGCCTGGGTGAGAAAAATTGATAGAAAGTTGATTCTATTTTACCTGGCCTCTTTCAAGTTTACCCGTGAAACTTTGAAAAATAATTTATTGTATTCCTTCTGTCTTATTGAAAAATTGTTATTTTTTATTTTTATCCGTTCCATTACTTTAGTAATTGTACTACTTACCTAATATAATAAATATCCTTTCAACTTATAATATATTACACAAATGTCATTACTTTTAGCATTTTTGTCTTTTTGTTTTTTACTACAATCTAATATAATACTAATATTCAAAAATTCACTTGTAAAAAACAAATGCCACTTTTTCACCGGCACGAAGGAGGGAAGTATATCGATTTCTCAATCTTAGGAAAAAAACCGCCTTTAAAATAATTTATTGAAGATGCTCTAACCAAAGTACACCATTTACTGCAAATGATATCCAGCCCTTTAGTTTTAAATTTTCTAAAATAAAATATTATAAATCCACGCGTGATATCTAAATTCGTCAGTATTTTGGTCCATCTTTCATTGACACAGGTAGAGAGAGAGGGAGAGAGACTCACGATCTCACAAAAATCCAAGTGAGACAACGAGCATGAGAAATCTGTGTGGTGGAGGACAACCCATGGAAACCCTTCCCCGCCAATCAGAACTCTCCAACTCCTCCTCGACTGATCTTTACCCCTTTCCACTGCCCCTTCTCCCTTCTCAACCTCTCATTCATTTCTCATTCCTCCCCCAAAATATTTATGTTTTTCTCTCATTCAACAGTTCTTGATTAATTTTCGTCCACCACTCTCTCCACCCCCGGACCCCCCAGCCTCTGTTCATTTCACTCTTCAAAGAGATTGGGGATTTCGGCATGAGCTTTTGGGGTTTTTGAACTGCAAAAAAATGGCAGCTTTTTCGAATTGCTTAGCTGCTCCTGCTGGGTTAATTTTTCTTTACTCCACAACCACAACCCCAACAAGAAGGCTCAAGATTTCCCTCCACAGACCCGCCAAACTAAGGCTTCTCGGCACCAAAATTAGGGCTGTCCAGAGAGAAGAAAACGGCAGCGCTGTTCTTGATGCCAAAGACAGGGAATTTGAGAGTGAGCTTAACCGGAGCGTGAATGGGAATGGCAAAGCTAATTACAGCTATACCACTAATGGTTCGGCTGGAAATTACACTAATGGGAGTTTGGTGAAGTATGTTGATGGGAATGGTAATGGTAATGCAAGTGTGGCTGCTGAGGTTAAAGTGGAGGAGCAGGAGAAGGTGACTCGTAGGACGAAGACAATAGAAGAGATTGGGCAGGAAGAGGTTTGGTTTAAGCGAAAAGGGCAAGATCAGGTTGAGGTGTGTGAGAAATTTCTAGATGTTTTTGTGTGCTTTCTATTGTGAATTATTATGTCTTTATTGAGGATCATTTGGATAAATTGTTTGTTTCGGAAGAATGATTTACTTGTAATCTGATCTCTAAGTGTTGGTTCTAAAAAATTTGCTATGGCTTGAGTATATCTTCATTTGATTTGATTTGATTTCCTTACAATGCCTTAATGTAGGATGATGTCCTAGTTTCTACTCATTTGATATGCAAGTTGATGTTGAAATGTTATTTGGATGGTTGTCAATTGCAGGTGTCGGTTGCCCCCGGTGGTCGATGGAACAGGTTCAAGACTTATTCGACGATACAAAGGACTTTGGAAATTTGGGGATTTGTTATTAGTTTTATATTCAAGGCTTGGTTGAGCAATCAAAAGTTCACATACAAAGGTTGGTCACTCAAAGAATTACCCAATTTGGACTGGACATCTTGTGGGTATTCATGTCGGAAGCTCGTAGTTTAGTTTCATATGGATAAAATAAATCAATTTTGCAGGTGGAATAACAGAGGAAAAGAAATCCCAGAGAAGAAAAGTCCTGGCAAAATGGTTGAAGGAAAACATTTTAAGATTAGGCCCAACGTTCATTAAAATCGGGCAGCAGTTCTCCACAAGAGTGGATATTCTTGCTCAAGAATATGTCGACCAATTGTCGGAGCTTCAGGTGAGGCTTTGTTATGCGCAAACAAATCATGTGTTATCTATCACCAACATTATATATTTTGATTGATTCTTTGTCGTGCAGGATCAAGTTCCGCCTTTCCCTTCTAAAACAGCTGTAGCTATTGTTGAGGAAGAACTTGGAGCCCCGGTCGATGATATATTTGAAAGATTTGACCGAGAGCCTATTGCTGCTGCAAGTCTTGGTATTGTGATTTTCTGAGAATGTGAAATGTCAATATTAGTTTATTCCTGTATTTTATACATATATATATATATTATATTGTTTACTCTCGTCGGACTAATGATTATCATTTGTAGGTCAGGTTCACCGAGCTAAGATGAAGGGACAAGAAGTTGTTATTAAAGTGCAACGACCAGGACTAAAGGACTTATTCGACATTGACCTTAAAAATTTGAGGGTTAGTTGGAGTTGCAAGGGACAGTTATAATGGCAAAGCTTAATACCTTACTTGATGTTTTAATCAGTTGATTTCAATAGGTGATAGCAGAATATCTTCAGAAGATTGACCCAAAATCGGATGGTGCCAAAAGGGATTGGGTTGCTATCTACGACGAGTGTGCAAATGTCTTATATCAGGTTATAAGTTTGATACAATTAATGTAAATTCTTCTTGGCTTGAACATTGTGATTAATTGCAATCGAGTGTTTTAATTTTGTTGAATAGCATAAATTTTAATGAACTTTCAGGAGATTGACTACACAAAGGAAGCAGCTAATGCAGAGAAATTCGCAGATAACTTCAAAGACATGGAATACGTGAAAGTCCCGACAATATATTGGGACTACACAACTCCACAGGTTTAGAATTTTTAAAATTGTTAATGTTTCACTCTACATTTTCAGTATAATTTACTAAATATCGATTTATTTGTTTGCATTTTCCCTCTTTGTATAGATTCTAACGATGGAATACGTTCCTGGGATCAAAATAAACCGGATACAAGCTCTCGATCAATTAGGTGTTGATCGGAAAAGGTATTAGCTTAACAAAACCATATTTATCATCTGAATTCGTCGATGAAGTTCTAGAAAAGTTACAACTTGTGCCAGTTAATTTTCATTAGGTTGGGCCGATATGCTGTGGAGTCTTACCTGGAGCAACTTCTATCTCATGGCTTTTTCCACGCGGACCCGGTGAGTTGAGACCTCTAAGCTTTACAGTAGAGTTGCTCCTGAAAATTTGTATAATTATGTATTCCACACAGGTAAAGACAGAAGGTAATCTGCTCATTTATTTAAATAAAGTTTACTTTTCTTCTTTTATTATATGTCTGTTTAATTTTGGATGAATGCTTATAGTATTTGTTTCTTTGACAGCATCCGGGAAACATTGCCGTGGACGATGTCAATGGTGGAAGATTAATATTCTATGACTTTGGAATGATGGGAAGGTAAATTCCCTCCCTACTTTTTTATGGAATTATTTGTCTGCGAAGCGTTGGAAAGATATTTTTCGTTGAGATTTTTCTATATTTTGAGAACACCGAAATAATGTTTGGGATGTATTTGTGCAGTATAAGTCAAAACATCAGAGAGGGTTTACTTGATGTATTCTATGGAGTTTATGAGAAAGACGCCGAAAAGGTAATTTTTTTATGAAAATGTTTAACTCATGTTTGATACTGTTCAAGTGTTCTGAGTAGCATCGAACATGCTTGGTAGAGTTACTAATTTCAGCTGAGAAACTAATCATGTTTGGTTCAGGTTCTACAAGCAATGGTTCAAATGGGTGTTTTGGTGCCGACTGGTGATATGACTGCCGTTCGAAGAACGGCACAATTTTTCCTCAACAGGTTTTTGTTTTTGTTGTTTTTTTTCCTGAAATTCATATTCTCTTCTTCGAATGTATTGTGTTGTTCAATCAAGGAATTTTATGCCTTTTAGCCTCACTCTGTGCGATCAAAATGAGGTTCGGTTCCGATAAAAAAAAAAATAAAAAATGAGGTTCCGTGTCATTATTTAACTCCGTGTAATTGCAACTTTTTAATCCATTACAGCGAACATCGGCAACTAAGCATGCTTTTGGTTATTTCTTATACCTTGATTTGCAATCCTAAAAAATACTCCCTCCATCGCAATATTTAGCCCATAAATGTAATAAAATTAGTGATATTTGTTGTAAACAAGTGTTGAATGAAGGTAATAATTAAATATTGATTTTGTTGACTCTTCCTAATATAGTAATAGGATAAATTTAATTGACGACAAAAATAGAAAGTGAAAATAAGATTGGCGGACAGAGAGAGTATCACCTAACCCGACCCACCCTGGTTCAAGTTGTATAGAACTAATTCTTGCTTAGAGCATTTATTGAATTTGCGTCCCTTAATTTAACTAACATATTACAGCTTCGAAGAGCGCCTTGCCGAACAAAGAAGAGAAAGGGAAACGGCACAGGCAGAGCTTGGATTCAAGAAGCCACTGACCAAGGAAGAAAGGATTCAGAAAAAGAAGCAGCGCCTCGCCGCAATTGGTAAATCATTAATCTCACGTCTTTTTTGTTTTATTTATTTTGTTTTTGAATTTTTCGATACATTATAGACTCGTTGAACTTATGTTCTAAATATAGTGCATTCTCTATGTCAACATGACGACTTACGCTTATCCTGATGAGCTAACTGGAACCCATTAAAAATAAAACTTTGGTGCTTCTTAACAGGCGAAGATTTGTTGGCTATTGCGGCGGATCAACCCTTTCGGTTTCCTGCTACGTTCACCTTTGTTGTTAGAGCTTTCTCAGGTACTTTTCTACGGTTTGAGCTCATTACCTCCCTACTATTACAGCAACAATATTTATTTGAATTTGTCCGACAGTTCTGGATGGCATCGGGAAAGGTCTTGATCCTCGATTCGACATCACAGAGATTGCTAAACCGTAAGCTATTATGAAAGTTTACAGCTAAATGTGTTATTCTTTTCTCTGATCGGTTTTTAATTTTTTTGATCGGGCTAAATGTGTTATTCTTGTTCTTGCAATTAATGTGTAATTCTTGTTTGGTGCAGTTATGCTCTTGAATTGTTGAAGTTCCGTGAAGCCGGTGTTGAAGTTGTAATTAAGGTAAGTTCATCCATGGCATTGCAATGAAGTATATTTCCAAAATGTAGAAACAATACAAGTAAAAGGTCGCTAAAAGTTAACTTGGCATGTTTCAGGACTTCAGGAAGAGATGGGATAGACAATCCCGAGCGTTCTCTAACCTATTCAGACAAGCAGATAGAGTCGAAAAACTTGCCGAGATTATCCAACAATTGGTATACATTCTCTATTTCCTCTTTGTCATAAAATTTCTTAAATAACCTCCCTTCCAAAATTTCAAAACATCGTTGTTATTCTTGTCTTTAATTTTTATAGGAGCAAGGCGATTTGAAGCTCCGTGTCCGGGCATTGGAATCCGAGAGGGCTTTCCAGCGCGTCGCAGCTGTTCAAGACAGCATTTTGAGTGTAAGCTTAAGACAAAAGTTATATTTTGAATTTTGTCCGAGTGAGTGACAATAATCTTAGCACGACTAAACAACAGGCGATTGCGGCTGGAAGCTTGATGAACTTGGCAACAATTTTGCACTTCAAATCCATCCAAGTAAGTCATATCATTGCTCTCAGCTGCATCTTTCCCTCGAGTCAATTCGACGCCTTCTTATGTTCCCGGCTTTAATTCCCTCTTCAGATGCCTTCGACAATCGCATACTTCTTGTGCACCTACTTCGGGTTGAAACTTCTGATCGGCTTAGTGAAGGTCAAGAAAATAGATCAAAGAGAGAAACTCATCACAGGAACTGCATGAGTAAATGACTACGAAATTCAAAATTGCCAGATTTGTTGCTGTCGTTCCACCTTAGCTTGGTGGTGAACTTAGGAACTGATTACTACACAAGATCGACGGCAATGGCGATGTATAATAAACCGATTTTGAGGATCGTATTGTAAATAAAGTGAAGATTCGGACATATATTAACATTTTGAGGTTAGGATAAACTATTTAGATTTTCTGGTTTGGACAAAACATTCTTAAGAACGCAAACTATATGAGTGTGTGTGTTTAGTTTTTTATTTGAGATATTTTGTTATGTTAAGTATAAAGAAATATATCAATAATAATTATATGAATTTTGTATTACTTCATTTAATTTGGAATTACAGAATAAAAACCTATATATATATCCAACATATTCTAAGAATATAAAATTTGTATCTATACTATTCTAAGTACAAAAAGGACCTATGTACAATATATCTAACATATCTAATATTTCCTTTCAAATTGGAGAATATAAATAGTAAGATTTAAGTTTATCACATAGAAATTTACTTGGAGACCTCTAAGAGATTTAATAAGAATATAAAGTTGGTCATTCAAAGCAACATGATGGGTAGTGATGCATCCGTATACACATTCTTTCTAATATAATGACAATCTCTACATGTTTAGTCCTTTAATGAAATACAAGATTAGATACAATATGCAAATCAGTTTGATTGTCACAAAAGAGTTTAATCTCTAAAATTTTTAGTATTTGAAGTTTATGAAAAAAAATATTTTTTCATAATAAGCTCACATGTCACTAATGCCATAGCTTAGTATTCCGGCCCTTGACTTGATCGAGCAATAATATTATGTTTCTTACTCGTTCATGAGACAAAATTACCTCCCACATATATGCATCACCCCAAAGCAAAACGTTTATCAAATGAGGATCATGCCCAATCAACGTCTAACTAGTCAATTACTTTAATGTGACTTTTGATTAGGATAAAATAATATGCTACCAGGAGACCATTTGATGTAGTTCAAAATTCGAATTGTAGCATCCCGATGAGTTGGGATTGAAGACATTGACTCACAACACTCACCGCAACTGAGGGAAAGGTCAAATAAGTGTAAGAGAGTTAAGTTTACCAACTATTCTACAACTTATAGCCAAGCCCCTTGACTTGAAGTTTCAAATTTGGATCCATCAGAGAGTCTATTGACTTATAGTTAGACAAATCAATTTCTTCAAAATTATCAATGTGTACTTCAATTGTGAAAGAAAAATTCCATCACGTAATTGAACAATTTCAATACCAAAAAAAATATGTCAATGCCATGTATCTTTAGTTTGAAAAGTTGAAATAGTTGTTATTTTAACTGGGTGACCTATTCTTGATCATTTTCGGTGAGAACAATATCCTCAACATAAACAATAAAATATAGAAAGTTTCTGCTTTGATGTGTGTTTATAAAAAATAGAATGGTTTGATGCACTTTAGATCATGCCAAAGTCTTGTATAACATTACTAAATCGACCAAACTAAACACACAAATATTGCTTCAATCTGTATAGAGAACAACGTAGTTTGCAAACGAGGCTAGACTCCCTTGAGCAATAAATCCAAGAGGTTGCTCTATATAAATTTTCTCCTAAGTTCACCATGAAGAAACAAATTTTTAATATTGAGTTGATGAAGAATCCAAGAATGCATTGTAGCCAAAAAAAGGAAAAGACGAATTTAAGACATCAATAAACGAAAAGGTTTCAATAATCCTCACCAAAGACCTGTGTGAAGCATATAGCCACTAAACGAGCTTTGAGGCGAGCAACTTCACTTTTTGGACCAATCTTAATAGCATAGATCCAACAGAAGGCCATAGAGGACTTGCCCAAAGGCAAAGGTACCATTAACATGTAAATAAATCATTTCATCCACCACTGTGTATCGCTATTCTGGATAAGATAGTGCCTTATGAAGGGATTCATGAAGAAAGACATAGGATAAGTGTGACACAAGTGTATAGTTAATGGGAGACAGATGATGAAAACTAAAAAATTGTAAATAGGATGTGTATTAAGAGAAGAATGAATACCACAAGGTAATTGTGTAGGATCCGACAGGGTAGGAGCCGCAAGAGGAGAAGAAAATGTCAAGCATTGAGAGCCGGGGACATCTAAAGTAGTTGTAGGAACATAATCATCGGTTCCATCAGAAGAAGACACTAGGGGTCGAGCACGACAACTATAAACCTGAAGAGATGAACGCAATAGAAGAGGAAAGATAAAGAAATAGGCAGCACATGGCTAACTGGTGGTGTCATAGGTGAAATACAAAAATAAGAAATTGAATTGAAGAAAGTAACAAAAAGTAGCATTGATGAGTATCAAGGAAAAAATACTTATAACCCTTATGAACCCTAGAATGGCCAAGAAAGACACTTTATTGCACGCGGAGCTAACTTATTCCAACCCAAAGAGTGATCATGAACAAATTAAGTACACCCAAAGACACGGAAAGGTAAATGATATAAAGGATTCTAAGAAAACAATATATAATGAAGAATTTTATTATGTAGATACAATGAAAGCATGCGATTTATAAGATAACAGAGTAAAAATAGCATAAACCCAAAACCAGAGTACAAGTAGTTTCAATGAGGTGGCTATTCTTATGTTCAATAAGTCTATTTTGCGAGGATTATAAGCATATGATTATTGATGTAAACTGCCACGAGATGACGAAAGTTGAGTTAAAGTAGTAGAAAAATGTTTAGTAACATTGTCGGTCCGAATTATTTTGACAGCAAACTAATTTTGAGTTTCAACATAGAATGTTTCAAAGACAAAGAGTAATTTGGAATGATTTTTCATCAAGTAAAGCTAAGTACATCTTGAAAAATCATCAACAAAAGTGACAAAGTACTAAAAACCAAACATATAAGTAGTTCGACACCCTATGTTTTATAGTGGACTAGGGCAAAGGGCTTATTATTATTAATCTACTGGGGAAACAAAATACAATTATTTTCCTAATTGACAAAACATAAAATAAACTAAAGTGATTTCGATCAAACTTACACAACTTGAAGAGATAACCCATATATTGTAGTAGCATAGAAGAATTGGCAGTGGAACAAGCAATTTGGATTGAAGGTGGTGGAATGTCGAGGTGATACAATCGATGGAACTCAAGCGGTCTTGAATGAAAAAAAGGTATCAGAGTCAAAACTCAATGATCCATAGCCCAAGAGATGTACCAGTGTGGGAAATCGGAGGTAACTGGTAAAAGAGATGACTGACATAGAATGAGTTTCAGCTTGCTTAATAATAATTCAAGGTGGCCAAGCATGTAGCTTAAAACATTTTTCATGGGTATGATCCTAATTGTTGCAATGAGTGCATCGTGGACGAGATGTATTATGACTTCGAAAACTCTTATGAGAACTAGAATCACCACGCACAAATGAAGAATCTGTAGCCAATAGAGCGGATAGGTCTCCTGAAGTAATAATATTATGAGCAACAAATGACACTCATAATAGATAAGAATAAACATCATTAAGGGTCGGAACTGTCGAGGTAGAAAGAAGGTGGTCACGAACCCAGCTCAGATTCGAACCAACATCTAAAAGAGCAAATACCATAAAGAATGTGTCGCGCTGAGCAAGCTCTTCAACAGTTGTTTTCCCCGCATGCAAAAAAAAAAAGTTTAAGCTCTTTATGGACAAAAGCTTGCCTAGATACTCTAGAATAGGCAATCCATGTAGACGAATATTGACTAAATTAGACACCACACTATATAAGCGTTGAATACCATTTGTCTATAAAGTTTTGCCATGCATCTGGAGTTCATAGCAGTTAGTAAAATTGGTAAAGATCGAACGGATACTTGGATCAATAGACCGCCAAAGCAAATTGCATAGCAAGACATTAGGCTTATACCAAACAACTTTGCCCGCCTCGAGGACCTGGTGGAGTGAAAAGATGATTCAACAAACCCTGACCCATACACCACATTTGAACAACTTTATCCAATTAACCATAATTGAAGCCTCTAGCCAGTTGTTCAATCACTATTGCAGAAGTAGGAGCAAAAATCCAGTCAAATAACTAGACATATTGTAAATAAGATTTAAAATGAAAATAGCTTTACAAATCCAAATTAAACATACCGGAAGCGAATCTAAATGGAGCAGACTCGTAGAAGCCCCAATTTAAACAGACGACGAGAAAAATCGTTAACCTACAACAATGAAGTTACCAACGAAGAAAAGAAATGAGAAGAATCTCCAATGCTAGAAAAATAGTCACCACGATGAGGAAAAGAAAACCAAGGTCAAATCGATTGAAGGGATGAACAGGTTGAGAGGGTGAGATTAGATTGGTAGGGGACTTTGATAAGCGGTGAGGTCGAGGGAATTGATTGGCAGTGGGTCAGAGATGAGGGGATTGATCGGCAATAAGGGTGAGGGAATTGATTGGCGATGGGTCGATGTGGTTCGATTGGTGTTAGTCGATGGGATTAAGTGAGCTTTGATACCATGAATGTGTGAATTTCATAATATTTCGATTCATATGAATTACAAAAGAAAAACCTATTGAGATATATATATATATATAATAAATGTCTAAAATATAAAAAAGATCCCCCACATTAATCTAAGTACAAAATATTAACAAGTATTAAAATAACCTCTCTTTTTTTCTTTTTTTTTTTTCCTTTAAATTATTGACTTTTTGTGCATGTAGAGTATATACATTGTATATTGTATAAGGCAAAAAATTGCAAAAATTATCATGTATATGAAGCAAATGATCAGTTTTGTCTTATAATTTTTTTTTTTTTGCAAAATATATTCTACACAATACAAAAATTCACGATTTTCATATTTTGGGGGCACATAGCCCAATAATTGATTTTAAAAGTGAGCTATGGGTTTAATAATCGATTGCATATTTTATTATATTAATTCAGTTGATAATTTGGTTATAGAATTCAACACACGTTTAACTTTCAAATTTTCTTTAGAGAATTGTTAATTAAGATATGAACGTTAATGAATTCTCTAATTGAAGAAGGAAATCCGGGTATAACCATGAATTTGAATTTTCCAGTCCCATTAAACCCTAGAAAGAACAATTATGATTTGTTAACTCCTACACAAGATTATTGATATCATATCGTAAATTTCTAAAATAGTTCGTAAACATCTTATTGTCACTAGATTAAAGAATAAGACAATTACGGATGCAATTATTTAATTGACTATGCATTATTAACTCAATCTAAATATCTGACCATAATACAAGATCAAGAAAATAAACGAGTACACACTAATGAATTTTTTTTAATACCAAGAAACATAATAGAAATTAACAATTAAAGACTCAATCTCACAAAACCATGGTGTTCAAATCATAAATAGATCATTGGACTAGATATAAAACTTAGTTACTCATAAATAAAAGGAAAAGTACAACGCAAACGAGAATGAATGGCATCTAGGACAGTTTTTCACCGGCCGCACGATCAATCAAATAATTACCCTTTATCTACAATAACAAAGTTAATGTTATACAATGAAAATGATCATGTCAACAGGAATTCTTGTGATAATAATATGTTCGTGTTCAACAAAATTAAAGAAGTTATGATTTTGAATTAAAACTAATATAATTTTAGAAATAACTAAACTTTTAAGAAATTAAAGAAAATATATTGCAATAAACAAGCACGAAGCTTATAGAATCTAAGGGCATAGTCTAAGGAATGATTTGTGTATGAGATTTGCATTGAATCATTGATTTTTTACTAGAAGTGGTACTTATGATGATTGATAAACTAGTTATAGACAATAAGCTCTAATAGCATTCAATTTTTCTTTATTGCGCAGATAATTAAGGTACAACCGTAATTGCTCTAATTAAACTAACAATTCTAGGTACGAACATAAAAATTAAATTGCCTAATTATATTATGATCTAGAAAAACTTAATTCGAATTACTATTACATACATGGAGCAATTAAGATTGGTTTTATAATCCATGGGAAATAACTACTCAACCCGTGTGCTACATATTCAAATAAAGTACAATTACGGATACCCTGTCCGGATAAAAAATAACTATATAATTCAATAATCATAAACTCTAAATTAAAAAAATTATAAAATATCAATAATCAATAAAAATATAATAAATATTTTCTATTCAATATTTAGAAAAAGAAAGAAAACAAGTGAAATAGGTATAATATGTGTCGTTAGTTTGTTGTCGAATGACTTCTGCAGCTGACGAATGACTATTGAACCACGCTGTACACTCCTTTTATTTTTGGACTGTATTATCACACTCTACTTTTAGTTTTAATATCTTTTTAAATTTCGACTCGTGAGCCTCAAAAATACAATTGAGCTTGGAGTTGTCGGGCTTTAATTATATTTACCCCAAATAATATTGTTTTCCATTAATTTTTTTAATCAATCTCTAAACTTGTAAAATATCCAAATAATACAAATTCAGTAGAATATTCACCAAATCAATTCAAATACTTCAAAAAATATTAGCAAATAAAGTGAACAAAATGCAAGCTATCAATGGTCTTTTATATATTCAAATAATTTTTTTTAAAAAAAATTAAAATTTTGCAACTCCTTGTTTATATAACAACAAAAAAAAAAAATTAATTCTTTATTACATTTATCTATTTTACCAAACAGACTAATCAATCTTTATAATTATTTTTTCATCTTGATTAAGGGATGTTCTAACATGTGCCTGCTTGCTTAGTTCATTAGGCTGAGTCCAATGGGGTTTCATTCTCAAAATGACAGGCTGTTGGGCTCGCCCGAAGTTGCAGGACGTTCGCTCGATGCTGACAGGCGTCTCTCAATGTTCTAGTTACTTCGATTGATGTATATGGGGTTCGCTTGACATGCTAGACATTTGCTTTTGGGATGACCATCGAGCATTGGAACTTCACTATCAAATTGAGCTTTGATTCTGTTTTATCATTGCGACCTTTGTTCATGCAAGGTCTCATTGATCCGAGACATTTAAAGGCGAGGGTAACACTATTATAATTATCTTTGCATATTTTCAATATTATAAAATAAAGATAATTTTTCTTATGAGATTCTCCCTGTGCTTTTTTGTTTTCTCCCTTCGTAATTAAATGTATTTGTTGGACCACAAAATGAAATGAATCGAGAGGACGAAATGGCCCAAGGAAATAGCGGAATCCAGCTTAAGAAGGAGTGATGATTAGCCCCAAAGAAGGGAGTGTGGATTATAATTTAAAGGTTCAAGTTGATCAAGTATTATGACGTGAGATTTGAATAGTGAAAAATTTTGAATTGTAATAGTTGTATGATGTGATATAATAGGTATTGATCAGATGTTTTGAATTTTTAGAATAATATAAAGAATAAAAAAAATAGGTATTTGATTTGATGTTTTTGAAGAAAAAAAAAATTGATGAATAGTAAGATTTGGATAAAATCCTACAAACGAACACACCCTTTAGTGGATTGGGAAGTTTCGCCTGCTACCAAGAAATGGAGATATCTTAGACGATGAAGAATTAAATCAAGGTTGGAGGTCATGGCTGTTATCTAATAATGATGGAGTTTGAATGCTAGATCATCAAAAGCACGTGAGAGTTATGCAAGTTATACATTCTTGATGGCCTTTAACGATGATGAAGGTTATGGGTAAGACCATTTTTTGAAGAAAAAGCTTGATGAAATCGGTGGCTTTCTTCCTGAATTTGACAATTTCGGCTGTTATGGAGTAATGGATAGTGTTTTAGCGATTCCTAAGGATGGTCATTAAACGAACTTTGATAATACATCATTAACACTACTTGAAAGTTACATCAGTTATATCGGAAAGTGTCATTTATTTTTCCGCCAGTTCTTTTATGTTTTCTCTCAGTTTTATTTCGATTCAGCTTGTAGTTTCCAATTTCTTTACCCTATTTGATTACTATATCCGTCCGGTTCTAAGGGTCAATTTACTTTTTGGATGTTGATATTTGAATATTAATTATTATATGAAAACGTAGTCCAAATCAAAGAAAAATGACAAAACTATAATATTATTATAATGACACAAAAAGTAAATGAGATATTTAGAGCCAGACGAAAGGAAATATAATTTTTAAAATTGATTTCTTGTTCATTTCTTTCGGAGGTTTTATGCTAATCCCATTTTTCGCAGGCACAAAACATTCTATCTTAGGGGACGTTTCAGCCATTTTCCCATTGGTTTTCTTAAGCCGTAAAAAAAAGAATTGAATATCCGAGTCTTCGGATACAACACTATTGATATTTGAAATCAACTTAGGGATACATCCGATTTATCATCAAGATTCCTTACACCACCATTTAAAATTTCATGTGGTGTTCGGACCATATGTATTCAACAGTTAATTAAGTCAATACACAGGAGAAAACACTCTTTATTCCTTCACTGCCATTACTCGATGCAAACTTGGCATGTGCTTATACACTCCTAAAAAAAAATAAAAATCTCATGAATAGCTGCAAATAAATACGTTGGACAGTAAATAGTGTCATCGAAAAAACAAATATATGGTCTCAAGATTTCCAAATTTTGTGGATCGATTTCCTTCAAGCTGTTGAATCAATTGCTATGGGATTGAACAGGACTGCTTCTATGTCTTTCCTCAGCCCTGTTTCCGAATATGTAATCGCATCCGTGCCTTGATTGTAACTAATGAACGTCGCCCGTGCATAGTTAAGCGCAAGCTTCAAAAATTCCCTCGGCTCGCCCTTTGTAATAACCCATTCCCTATTCATTTTCATCAATGCATCATCGGCGAGTTCGCGAAACTTAGCCATTGCTTCTTCTTCCGTTGCACCATAATCTTTCATGTAGCAATCAATTGATGTATTTGGAAATCCACTTTCATTGTGTTCGCGCTTCAAACCAATCGACGTAAATTAGTTATATATATATGTGTGTGTGTGTGTGTGATTTATTTACAAGAGTATGAGAAGTAGGAAGTGAAACATACTTTATAGCTGCCTATATCATTACTCAATCGAATGTAAAGACCGGTGGCCTCCAAAAATTTAGGCCTCCTCAAGAGCCATTCGAATGCTTCCTTTGAGGCGCATTCCATGCCCATCATGCACGATGACACTAAGGCCGGGACTCCAGTGTCTACGCACGCAATAGAAATACTCTCTTGAAATGTTGGCGTCTCGCGCCCCATATACCACTTGGCTGTTGTAAGGTAGCTCCTAGTAAGCATTTTCAGCTTCATATGACCACACAACATAAGAAACTTTGCAAATCTGAAGGATATATCGATGATGTATGTTTTTAACGTCTCTCTTCCTTAATCTCATTTTAACTGTAACAAAAAATTTAGGGTAAATTGATTTTTTTAGTCCCGTTGGTGGACTCATCTATCATTTTCATCGTGTAATTGGAGTCTATCGCAAACTAGTCATGTAACTAAAGAATTTTTGCAATATGTAGCACTCGAGTAGCTCGCCGGAGAACGCGCTGTCCGACCGGTGACACCTAGCGGACACATGATTTTTTTTTTACAAAAATTAATTAATTTATTTTGTCTTTTATGTAAAAATGAAAAATTTTCAAAAAAAAAAAAAATTAAAATTTAAAATTTTTAAAGAATAAAAATCCATGTGTCCGTCAGGTCAGCGATACTTGACGGACACATGTTCTCCGGTGAGCCACACGGATGGCACGTAGGCTTCTCCGATACCGGAGGATTAAAATTGCAAAAATTTTCTACTTACGGACTAGTTTGCAAACTGCTCTAGTTACAGAACTAAAATGATAAAGGTCTAATTACATAACTAAAAGATCAATTTACCTAAAAATTTAAAATAGTAGGATTTTCACACATATATGCGGATGAATGATTTTATTCAAACTAGGAGAGTGTGCTTACTTCTTCCCTAACGTAAGAAACCGCGAAACTTCTGCCTTGTTTAGACAGTTCTAGATCAAGCTCTTCATATGTATTCAAGATAATTTTGTAAATAATCTGCATATAAGGTGGAAGTCTGTCGATTTTTTTGATATCCCACCTGAAAAATATCAAAAAAAAAAAAAAAAAGAAAGAAGAAAGTAGTGGTAAATTTTAAGTCTTATTTGTTTGCTTTAGCTAATTGCATGCATTAATTCACTATACCGTTCTTGCAGAACCTCCAAGAAAGCTTTTGCTTCTTCAAGTGTGGCATAACTATCATACGTATCATCGATAAGTCCAATTAGGACTATGTTCTTTACGGCAAGTGATCGTAGAAATGAGTCTCGAGGTTCAAAATGGAGTGCCACAACCCAAAAATACATTTCCACCGACCAGTCTCTTACATATGGAAATTTCGACTTGAGGTCCAAGCCTTTCGACCACCTGCGACCATCAAACAGTTTGATTGATTCCCGGGCTGATTTAATTATTGAATTATTCGGTTACTTACTTCATGAATTCACATATCTCTTCTCTATATATGTTCTGTACCAAATTGAAATCCAATTTGGCTAGTCTTAGAAGCATATCATTCTTTGACACTTCTTTCGCGTAGAATGAGATGTAATAATGAGCTTCGACTCTAGGAACACCCCATTGAACCGGTTGAAATAGAGCTCGGGCTACTTTCTCTTTAAGAGGGGATTCCAATAGAGGCAAGGCTTGCTTTAAATTACGGGTTGCGAAGACATTGCCATTTTTTAAGATGTCTTCTCCCGGATAGCTTAGATAGGTTGCTTCATACAAGCTCAACAAACCCTTGATGTCATTCGAAAAGGCTTCCTTGAGCTCATTATCGCCATCTGTAAATTTATTGAAGACACCTGTTTCAAGAATCACTTGGTAATGTTAGCTGCTCAAAGCTAAGGAAAAAAAAACGATATATATATATATAGATGTATAATTTTGGTCTTGTAGATGACATCCTTTATCATTTTCTGAAAAATATGCAATGAAAATCAGAAGCAACATACTGCTAGGAGCATCGTAGCCATGTTGTCTGAACAATCGGAAATGCAGTGCAGTCGCGAAAAGGTCCATGTCTTTATCCTCGTTCTGCATCTCGAATTCGAAGATCTGTGCGATCTGGTCCTCGATCTCTTTCTCGAAGTGATAGGCCAATCCTAATCGCTCTATTGTGTCGATGAGAATCATCTTATCCTTTGGTTTACTTTCCTTGTTCATCACCATGCTCCTCACCTCTTCCTTCAGTGTTTCAACGACCTCTTTGGTATGTGTTTCATCAACCTGCACGATCTTTCGATGAAGTATTTAGTACTCGAAATCACAAGTTCAACCATGTGTATGCGTCAAGAAAATAAAAACTCGAAGCGAACTGGAACATAACCTGATTTTGTGCAGAAAACAAAGCATCATTCCAGAAACTTGCAGGATGATCCTTGGTAATTTGTCGGATAATCAGATTTTCGAACTCAGGACTGGTGTTGTCATGGGAAACAGCCTTTGGAATGGTGGTTCTTGACAGGAAGGGTAAACTCCTGTCATCCTGATGCTTTAACTTTGTACTAAACTTTACTGCAGTTAGGTTTGATTCACACTCAGATTTATTTCGATGTAATGTAAGAAAGGAGAAGGCTTTACCACTTTTTCCTACATAGTGAAAATTGGGTTTTGGATAATTAGGGAGAAGAAGGCTCGAAGAACAGGTAAAAGCCATAGCCATCAAGTTCTCTACTTTCTTGGTGATAACTTATGATATGGTTGAACTTGAAGATGCAGTTTGTTTATAATATGTCTATAAATAATTGTTGTCGATCTCAGATCTCAGATGCATGTGGCATTAAGTCTGTTGAATTATTTTATCTATATTTTTTATCCTCGATTTGATAGTATTTTTGAGATAAATTAAAATCTGGATATATTTATTAATATAAAAAGATTATGCTACATGTGATAGTTTTATAAATAAATAAAATATTGAATGATGAAAAATCAGATAGAGTCTAACACACCTTATTTCTTAATTTATTAGAGTGTTTTCTATAAGAAAATTAAATAATTCCTTCCTAATAAATGGTCCTTCCTACGTCTCATACAAAGAGTATGATTTGATTTTTGCACATAGATTTTTTTAATATTAGTATTACATTGGATTGTAGTAAAAAAAGACAAAAATATTCTTATTAGTACAGTATTGTGTAATACAGAGGTGGTAACATTTGTGTAATATACTGTAAGTTGGAAGTTGGAAGGATATTTATTATGTTAGATAGACAGTATAATTACAAAATTAAAAAATGCTACCCTTGTTTTTGGGATGGACAAAAATGAAAAATGGAACCCATTCTTATGGAACGGAGGGAGTACCATTTTCATTTTAGTATACACATAACAAATGATATCTTTTTATATTTGGTAAATTTTACTAATTCAATATATACTTAACACATATAAATAACTTAATTAACTTTATAATATAGACTAAATTGCACAAAATCTATCTGTGGTTTTACGAAATTGCGCCAAATTTCAATACTTATAAAACAGCGTCAAACTCTTTCTTGGTTTCATAAATTTTGCGTCTAATCCCTTCAGCGGTCCTTATTTAACGGTATTTGAACCAAATGTGGCCAGAGTGCGAATAAATTTTAGAATCTCAATTTCTAAACCTTTAAAATTACAAATATATTTATTTTTCTTACATTTACATTTAGCTTAAAAAATAGTAAAAATAAACTTTTAAAACCTGTAAAAAAAATAACTATTAATTTTTTAGTATATTTACTATTTTTTTTATGCTAGATATATAAAATCAAAAAAATAAGGGATTTAGAAATTAAGATTATAAAATTTATTCGCAGTTTGACGTAATTATGCAAATACCGCTAAATAAGAACTGTCGAAGGGGTTAGACGCAGAGTTTATTAAACCACGAGGGAGTTGTACGGGGATTTGACATAATTTAATGAAAACATATGTAAGTTTCGTGCAATTTAGCTTATAATATATAACATCATATATATCATGTAGAGCCACTCAAAAATCTTTTATTTCAAACTTCCTCCTCAATAAATAAATATTTTCATGTACATTTAAAACTCTCTCTTTTACAAAATTAGTTTATGTTAATTATGAATAAATAAATATATTTTATTTATTTATTTGTATTATGAAGTATATAATTTTATTCTATACAAAATGATATTCATATTGCATATATTTTATTAAGATATAATTTTTAAAATATTTAAATACGTATTTTAAATTTATTATAATCACATATACTATCTTCATCCGAAAAAAAAAACAACATTTGTTTTTTATATGTAGATTTTTTAATATTAGTATTATTATATTGGTTTATAGTGAAAAAAAATGTCTCAATTAGATTATGTGATACAAAAGTAATAACATTTGTGTAATATATTGAAAGTTGTAAGTGTATTAATTATATTAGGTATGTAGTACAATTACTGAATCAAAAAATGATATCCTTATTTTGGAACAAAAAAAATAATAATAATATTCTTTTTTTGAGACAGATGAAAAGTATATTTTTTTATTTTAAAATTACTAATATTACTCTTTACATAATAAATAATATCATAATCTTCTATTATTAACTAATAACATAGCATCTCCTTAAAAATCGTGTTTCTAACCAAATGTATCATCTATTATAATAAGACAGAGGGAGTATTAGGTATAATATTAAAATAAAAAACAAAGAAAGGAAAAATATGCAATCGCGGGTTTTGTGCCCTAATCATAATAACGGGATGGAATCACCAACGTCCTCCCCTCCACGCTTCCTTTACGTCCGGTTCACAAAGTGATCTATATATATATATATATATATCAATAAGATATATATTGATAGTTGATAAAATATATAAATAATTTTATTTTTTATTTTATTTTTGTGAATGTATTAATGTAAAAAATAATGGTATTTGTTTAATAATAATAAAAAATAATGAGATAATTTTATAGTGATATGAATATTTATAAAAATAAAATTATTATTTTGAAACTGACAAAAATGGAAAACAATATTATTATATTGAGACAAAGGAAGCATAATATTTGTATGTATATATATACATATAGCGTATATATATTATGCCTATTTATATATCATACATACAGTGTGTATATATACATTGTATTAGAGGGGGCGTTATGTGTTGTATGTGACTATAATATGTGTTATCAGTTTATGTATTGCATTTGTATTATATTAACATATACAATCGTTGTCTGTAATAATACCGTATGCTATCAGACAATACACAATGTACTTTTTAGCACAGTACTAAATTTTAAATTAAGCACCGGAGCCGTCGCCATGGGCTGGTGATCCCTTCCCTATAATATATTTTAATACCCCTCTTCAAACTCAAGATATGATCGAATAAACTTGAGTTTGTCAGAAGTAACCGAAAAAGATATAGTCGAGATCTTCCACGTACAAATTTGAATTCGCCGAGAATGATTGGAAGTGGTGTAGTCATTCATTGATCAAAGCTAGAAGCAGAACTTTCGACAACGTTAGAGCTGGAAACATGACTCACTCGTTCACAACGGAACTAGAGTCGGAAACAGGACTCGCTCGCTCACAACAGAACTAGCGTCGGAAACAGGACTCGCTCGCTCACAACAAAACTAGCGTCGGAAATAGGACTCGCTCGCTCACAACAGAACTAGAGTCGGAAACAAGACTCGCTCGCTCACAACAGAGCTAGAGTCGGAAACATGATTCACTCACTCTCAATAGAGTTAAAAGTCGAAAACAGGACGTATATAAAAAGATAAAATAAATTTTAGATATATTTATTTGTATAAAAAAATTATGCTACATGTGATGGTTTTATAAATAAATACTAAATAAAAAATTGAATGATAAAAAGAACAAGATACAAAATCAACACACCATATTTCTTAATTTATTAGAATGCTTTGAATTTAAATAATAAAAAAAAATATTAGGTATAATATTTTAAAAATAATAAAACAATATAAAAAAAAAAAAAAAAAAAAAACAAAAGAAGCACTGGGTTTTGTGCCCCAAAGATAATAATACCTCTTTGTTATATAATCTAATATCTATTATAAGGGAATTCTTGCAGTGTTAAGAATTTTCACACCAATACACCACATATAAGTAGAAAATACACATTAGTATTACACACAATAGATGCTATGTATTTTAAATGTATGTGCTATTTTTTAATAATAACAAATGTACTATTGTATACAAGTATGTCATATGCTAAAATCAATTGTTGTGTATTGTATGATATTATAACATGTGTTGTATTTTTATTATATTAACATATACAATATGTTGACTGTAGTAATATTATGTATTGTTGAGACTATAACATATGTGTTTTGTTCATGTATTGTATTTGTATTATATTAACATATACAGTGTGTTTCTAATAATGATGTATTGTCTAATAGCACACAATGTGCTGTTCTGCAGCTGCCACCCTAATATACATATATATTTAGGCTTGAAAATGTCGCCACGTGTTGACCGACTGTTTGTTTCTTTTTTATTATTATTAATTTTTTAGTGTAGATCTTACAGTTAAAAATATAAATGATTTTCATAATTTTAATTACAATTGTGATTGACTAAAGAGGCTTAATGTGGGTTTTTTAGATGGTGGATTCCACCACATAATAATATACTCCATCCGTTCCATAAGAAGGTATCCATTTACCTTTTGCATCATTGTAGTTAACATTAAAAATATCCTTATATTTGTATAATCTTTTATTTTAATTATTATGTACTTTTAAAAAAAAATTATATGTGAATCTCATGTATAATGATTATTTTTTATCCTATCATTAATTATTTACTATATTCTTCTCACTCGGTAAAATGGTGCAGATTTTGTTTGGACATTGAAACTAAGAAATAATAAAATTTTAATACTACTTCCGTCCGATTTTAATGGTCTTATTTATTTTTTGTGTATTGATATTTGAATATTAATTATTATATCAAAACGTAATACAAATTAAAAAAACATTGTAAAAATATTTCTATTAGTGTCTTACGATACTAGGACATTCGTACAAAAATTTATATAAATATAAAAATATTTTTAATGTTAAATACAATGACGTAAAAGCTAAAATGTAACCCTTAGAGACGGACGGAGGAAGTATTAAAATAAGGTATGCACAAAATAAAATGAGGATATTATGATAAATTTATTAAAATAAATTATTGAAATGGTGGAATAATTAAAAGAAATAGTGACAATTTGATTATTATTTGTTAAAAGTAAAGATAATAAAATTATAGTAGGATAAAGTTATTTACTTAAAATGAATTATATATAAGTTTAACAGATAAAAAAAAAAAAAAAACATTGATATAATTTTGACGGACAAATGAAATATTATGTTATATTATTATTCGGGAAAAAATCAATTTTGGTCTCAATATAATCAAAATTTATCAAATTTGATCCAAATATAAAAAACTCATTCAATTTCGTCACATTATAAACAATTTCATCAATTTTGGTCCAAATATAATCAAAATTTATTAATTTTGATCCAAATATAAAAAACTCATCAATTTTCGTCACATTATAAACAATTTCATCAATTTTGGTCCAATTTTAAACAATTTCAATCAATTTTGGTCATACCTTTTCAAAAAATTAACGAAAATTGCTGACGTAGACGTAAGGGATTGACGTGGCAGCTGACC